CATGGAACAACATGCCTCATCATAACATATCATACTGGATCATGGCATAACATAACGTGGCATGACGTAATGTAACATGAACAATCGTCCAATCACGAAACGAGCCACACCTTAGCATGACATAACATATCATACCATACCGCAACATCACATACCATATTATTCCGCATCACGACTACACATATCATGGCAACGTGCGGGATCATATGTTATAGCATGCCAACTCATGACATATCAACACAGAACAGGACATACCATGCCATGACGGAACATACCATGACATAACGCATCATCGAGGATACTGAGACGTAACATCGCAACGACTGCAACGAATGTACTACATCATCTTAGAATTCATTGCATTGCAGACGCAAGCCTTAACACAACAACATATAAGGTGATGTACTGAAAATCGCACGACGCAGCGTAAACAACATCACACATGTAGCACAATATAACGTGGCCTGACGGAACGTGCCATGCCATAACACGGTACAATGCAACATAACAGAACAACACATAATACACCAACATCGAAATGTGCAGAGATGAACATAACGGAGCACACTGTAAAACATGAACACACACAGGTGAATAAACACACCACAACATAATTCAGCGTAGTACAATCTAATCAAACGCGACGTGTGCGCCGAAGTCAGGCTGGCCACAGGAGCAAACAAGCGAAGCAACGACCGATCGGACGACGTATGTATCAAAACAAGCGTCACGGCGTCAATTCGGCCCGTCGAGCACAGAACAGACATAATATAATACAACACGATAAAACGTTACCAAATCAAGATACTTCAACGCTTCCAACCAACCCGCATACGAAAGACGTGCGGTGAGGACGCAAGGGCCTTGGAGAACCGTGTTAGCGCGTGTCGAACAAGGTTGGCAGGCCAAAATCGCTAAGGGTGGGCCGAAGGTGCAAGGATGCAAGGGTGCCATTGGGAAGGTCGCCAATCCTTACTCTAAGCAGCACAATCTAACATAATTGCTGTACTTCTGCTGCCCCTGCGTCAACGATTTGGAAAAACCATGATTGGCGATAACTTCGCGGAGTAAGTATATCACAGCAGAGCAGATCACAATATACTATAACGAATTGAGCATACCATAAACAACATCACATATAATAACCTTGTATAATTAGCTTAACCTGGCAGTACATACGCATCATGCCTTAAAGTGGTGCCACAGAGCTAGTCAGATTATAGCATAGCAAGTCATACAATGACAGAGGTGAGCATAACACAGCATACGTTAACAGAAGAGAAACTGCCACTTGAAGAATAAACTCCTAACATAATAGGCCGTATCAGAAACTGATCGTACGCGGCGTGCGCGCCGAGGTCAGGCCGGTCACAGATACAAGCGGGCGCAACAACGACCGATCGGACGACGTATCGAACGTGACAGGCGTCACCGCGTCACGCCGTCCCGTCGACAACATGACGTATCAGGCTGTAGCATATCAGATAACATTTATATATATATATATATATGTATATACACATATATATATATATACATATATGAAATTATATATGTATATATACATATATGATATATATATCATATATATATGCCATAACATCACTAAACACTGATACATACTGCAAGGGCATGCTAAAAACGCACTGTCAAATGCAACATCCGCGCCTGACCAAATGAAACAACAGGTGCGGCAACGAGCGGGCCCCGCGCACATCGGTCCAGTAGGCGTGCCCCTGTTTGGAACAAACGCCGAAGGTTTCTGTGGGGATCGCTCGAAGCAAGGTAATTCATTATGCTGCTTTTTCTCGCGTCGTCGGATCTCAAGGTCAACAGACTTGCCACGTCCCAGTCCGGTCCAAGAAGCAAGGCCGCGCGATCCCCCCAGACTCGGCTGGGTCCGCGGCGCTCCTCACCCCCAGAGTGCGGCCGCGAGCACGTCCACATCCAAATGCAGGACGGGAAACGTTGCACGATGCGCAGCGCAGGGTGCCAATACCATGTTCGCACCACAGCTGATGAGGTCTGGCGGGGCGCAGGAGCTTCATTGGCCGAGGCGGCCAGGCAAGAATTCCAATGCAGTCGTAGATCAAATTGGCGTTCTTGTCGTCAGGATGACTAAGAGGGCTGCACCGAGCGTGCCATTCGCGGGCTGTCGCGTTACCTCGGCCGCCTGCGCCGAAATCGCCGCGCTCCCAGAGCAAACTTAATCAGTGGTCGGCGCAGCCGCTGATCTTTTGAAGCCATGGAGCGGCGACGCCATCTTTGCCCTGTGGTTTGGGCGCCCCCCCCCCGCCGCCCAGGTCGCTGCGCAAATGCCCAAAATCGACCCGCAAACCGGCGGCGGGATTGCGCGTGCCGTAGCAGCAGCCTCTGCCCCGGCAGATCGCGGCGATGACGCCGTGGCAATCGTGGCCATGTCCACCCCTCACAGCTCCGCAAGGATGGCGGCGGGAGAGCGGACAGGTCATGCGCAATGCCGCGCGAACTTGGCGCTTGACCGCGCCGGCGGGGTTGAAGGCCGCGGCGAAGACCGCGCTGCCGTCGAGACCGCGCTGCCGTCGGCGGCCTCTTCGTCGCCCGCGAAGCTCGGTCTCGAGGTCGGCCGGTCAGCGCACCTCGCAGCGGACGGCGCCGCGGCTAGGGTCGGCGCGCACAGGCGCTCCGCGAGAGAGAGAGAGGGGGGGGGGGGCGCCGGCCCTCCGCGCAGTGGGGCCGGTGCGAGGTGCCCGCCGCCCTCGGCCCATAACGTCAGGTCGGGCGTGTCCTCCTGCAGGGGGATTTTGGGCAAAAAATCAAAAATATTCAAAACATACACCCACATGGTCGAAACTAGATAAAAAAATCGTCCCCAGGCTATTTTTGGACTACTTTAGAATATTCCCCCAGTAGAGGGACGCGCCCGACTTAACCACAGCGCGAGAAACTCTCGCCTGCTGCCTCCGTCTAGGAGCAGACTCTGGGGCGGCCGCGCAACAGCGAGGCCGGGCGCGCACACCAGCCGCTGGCGCATGCATGTGCGCTGCGCCGCCCCAGCGCCACGAGCCTGCGAGGTCTTGCCTTATGTCGGACATGTCCCCCTACAGGCGGATTTTGGACGAAAAACAAAACATATCTTTATTATTGACTATTGTTGAATATTCCTCCAGTAGAGGGACGTGCCCGACTTAATGCAAGGTCTCGCCCCCAATGGCGCGGGGAGGAGACCACAACGCTCGGCGAAAACATCGAGCCTTTGATGGCGGGCCTGGCGCGCGTGAGGCGGGGCATGCTTGCGCCCGGCCTCCCACTTGACTGCGCGGTTGGCCTCGCCGAGCAGCGCGGCGGCGACGCCGCGGCCAGCGCCGCTGCTCGTGCGTCTCGGGCCGTGGTCTTGACACGAGCCAGAAGCACCCCTGCGCGCCGCTTCTGGCGCCGTGGGAGGTCGCGCACCTCTCGGCGAGGACGTACTGACGTCAAGCGGCGGCGTTAGGCCCGCGGCCCACGCCCGGGCACTTCGCCCGGCCACTCTCCGCCCGCGGCACATGTCCGGACACCTCGCCCGGGCCACTCTCCGACGCCGCAGCGCGCGCCAGCTGCCTGCCGCCTGCGTGGTCTTGCAAGAGGGCGACCGCATGGACCCGACGGCGGCCTCGCCCCGCTGCAGGGGGCGATGACTCTAGCCCCTGCGAGCTCGTCCACAGCGTCGCCGTAGCCCTCCAGCGTGTCGAGCCGCGCCTGCCTGTCACTGCCGACGCGCTAACAGGACCATCGACGCCGAGTCGCCGAGTCGGAGCTCCGCGCGAGGAAGCACGGGTTGCGCCCGTTCGACGGGATCCAGGCGCTGCCCGCGAGGGCGGCGGACAGCGTGGGGGAGCTGGCAACGACTGCACCCAGCGCAGACATGTGCGCTTTGAAACCGCACTCCTCCAACGCCTCCAGCTCGCCGAAGGCTTGCAGCTTCTCGCCCACTGCCACGCCACCGGGGTTCGCTTGCGGCCGGCCGCCGTATAATCAGGCGCTGCGAACAGGCGCGGCGTTGGAGAATTGCGTCCCATGGCGCTGTTCGCTGGCCGCGAGCTTCTCGTGCTGCGTCAAGGCGGTGGCGCTGCAGACCTCCACGCTCTGCGCTTGCACGTGCTTGGGCTTGGTGCCTGCAGCTCGGAGGGGCTGCGTCAGTTGGCCTGCAAGACGCCCTCGACGTCGTCGCCCCTGAGCCAGGCGAGGACGTTGATGGCGGAGCGAAGCTCAGAGAGCTCGTCCCCGACGCCGCTGATGGCGGGAAGGGTGCTGACGCGGCGGTGGCGTCGGCGAGCTTCTCCTTGAACTGCTGCACATGTCGCACATGTCGTTCTGCACCTTGAAGATGGGCTGCGGCCCTTGCGGAACGGAGTAACGGGTGCGCGCGGCGGCGTGGCAGCCCAAAACTCCTTGTACTTGAGCAGGGCGCGGGTTCCGCAGCCGCGGCACGTGGCCCGCGACGTTCAGTTGCTGGCAATACCGCACCGGCATGACAGAGAGCGGCCTCCCTGCCACCCAAAGCCGCTTCCGTGGAGCTGCCATGGCCTGATGCTGGCATTGCTCGCCACTAGACGAAACAAACTGATGGGGATGGTGCCGTAAAAACGGTGAGAACTGCCGCGGACCAGCGGGATCCGTCTAGTGACTAGTGCATGCACCGGCTATGGAGAAATCACCTGGCGAGCCGAAAAACACTGCCGCGAAGGAAGTCACGAGCAATATGCTAAGCGGCGCCCCCGCGATCAGGCGATCAGAGACACGAGACACAACAGGCCACAGACCAGGGAGCCACGGGGTGAGCGGCACGACCTCACCCCGCACATCATTCTCCCCGTCCTCCTCCATCCTCCCTCCTCCCCCCTGCGCTCTCCGCCCTCCTCCGTCGCGTCATCATCTTGTCGTCTCTGTCTTGCTCTTCGCCCTCGTCGCCGCACCCCCCCCCCCTCCACGTACAGGGGAGCGCACCCCGCGCAGAGCGCCCTTCGCACCCCCGGGCGCACCCCAGAGGCCGAAGGCAAGGACAATGCCGGGCCGCAATTCTCCCTGGCGGCGCCGCCAGCGCGACGAGGGAGGAGAGGGGAGGAAGGCAAAGGAGAGGGGTGGAGGCGAGGAGAGGCAGGAGAGGAGAGGGGAGAGAGGAGAGGAGAGGGGAGAGAGGAGAGGGAGGAGGGGAGGAGAGGGGATGAGAGGAGACAGGAGAGGGGGTGGCGACGTGGGAGGAGAGGGGAGGAAGGCGGAGGGGTGGAGGCGAAGGGGCGGACTGGCCCAAGGCGATCGGTACGGGAGCTAGCGAGCGAGCGAGCCCGCTCGCGTGCCTCGCCCGAGCGAGGCGAGCGAGCAGGCCGAGCGCCGGCCCGGCCGCCCGCCTCCCTCGGGCGAGCGCGCCCGCCCGCCCGGTCGCCATCGCTCGATAAAGGCGAGCGAGAGGGCCCGGAGCGAGGGGCCGAGGAGGAGGAGGAGGAGGAGGAGGAGGAGGAGGAGGAGGAGGGGGAGAAGTGGGAGGGGGGAGCAGGGGGAGGAGGAGGAGAAGGATAAAAGAGGAGGAGGAGGAGAGAGGAGGAGGAGGAAGACGAGGAGGAAGAGGAGGAGGAGGAGGGGGAGGGGGATGAGACGGAGACAGGAGGAGGAGGAGGAGGAGGAGGAGGAGGAGGAGGAGGGAGGAGGAGGAGGAGGAGGGGGAGGAGGAGGAGGAGGAGGAGGAGAAGGAGGAGGAGCAGGAGGAGGAGGAGGAGGAAGAGGAGGGACCAGGGACCAGGCACGGGCCACCATCCGCGTCGAATGGGGGCTGGAAGAAGGTGGGCGGCAGCGGCCGCCTGGGAAGAAAAAGCGAGCCCCGCGTCCGCGGGGCCGACGGTGCCGCCGAGCTCGGCAAGGCCGCGCCGCCAGCCCTACAGCTAGCGGGGCTCGCGCCCAGCCAAGACTTCGTCGCGGAACCAGAGCTGGCTGGCCCGCGGTCGGAGTGCCCTGACAGGGCTGCAGCAGCGACCTGGACGCTGGCTGCTCAATGAGAGCGTGGGCGCCGCAACGCCTGCACACAAGGTAGCGCCCCGCTGGCTGCACCATGTGTTCCTGGAACTCGAAGACCTCGGGCGCTCGGGCCGGGGGCGGCGACGACGACGTCGACGACGACTCCTCCCGCAGACCGAGCGCCGTCAGGGCAAGTCGGACGGCGCTCGAACGCGCCCTAAGCAGGACGCCACCGAGCCTCTCCGCCTTGACTGCCGTGAGAAAAAATGCAGGGCCGTAGGTTCGCAACGCGCGCCAGGCCGCTCCAAATGAGCTCGAGCCATGGCCGTCTTCGAAGAGCAGTGGCACCATGTGCAGCGGACAGACCTGTCGGGGACCTGCTCGAGGTCATGAGCCAACAAAACAAGAGTGGGCCGCGGGGGTTCGCGGCCTCGGGGCGACCCTCCGTTCGACCGCGCTGCTACTGGCCTCCAACTAGGCCGCCCTGGAAAAGAAATCAAACTTCCGCTTAGTGTGCTTCAGGCGCTCTTTGAGCGCCTCCGCAGCAACGCATGCGACGCAAATGCGCGCTGAACCTAAATTCGCAAAGAAATCAGCCCAGGCATTCCCAAGGAGATCACGCACACGAGACGCACCACCCAACGCACCACCAGGCTCAGCGGCCAACACCCAATCGAGATCCCCGTGGGCTGGGGCCCAACGGAACGTCGGCCTCTCAGACCGACCCTGGTAAATCTTAAAAACCTCGCGCCAGACGCTGGCGTGACGGCTCGCACCACTCGGCAGTCTGTCAGCCCACTCGGTGCCTTCACGGACTGCGGACAGGCGGTCCGGGACAATCTCTGCCCCCCACGGGGCCACTCGGAACGCCTCGAGAATGGCCTGCCTCTCGGACCTTGGGACCGCCTGGCACCTCCCCGACAGGCCCCCGTAGCGTGCCCGAATCGGCCAGCCGTGGGCCGAGAGCTCCACGGCCGCCCACCCACAGCGGGCGGCTTCTGGGACCTCGTTGGCTCGGCCAGAGCCGTCGGTATAAATCTCCCGCCCCCAACTTGAACGAGTGGCTCCCCAGGCAAGCACTGGCAACGCAGTGGGGGCCGAACTCAGCTTAATCGGAATCGGCGGAAGACCGTGCGCGAGCACGAGCGAATCGAAATCGGGCGGGGTACTTTTTCGCTGAGTCCTTCATCCACTGACGATGCAGTAACAGATCATCTGGCAACGGCGGCGCGACCTCTGGGTCCTGCTCGCCTTGAGACCAGACGCTATCACAATCGAACCATTGGTGACCAAACGTGCCAGGCTTCTGGCCGCAAAATTGGCATCTGTCCGGCTCGGCGTAGCCACGCAAGAACTTGCGGGCTGGCGGCCAGAGCCCTCCTCCCAACAGGGCCCCCAGGGAGCCCCTGCGCACGTGATTCCGCACCGAGAGCACACCGCGAAGAAGCGCTCGACCCCGAAGTTTCTCGGGGCCCGTAGTTTCGGGGATGGCCGACAACAACTGCATCACCTGCACGCGGTTCAGACCGTCTAGCAGCAGTCTGCGAATGCCATGAGGTGAGACCTCCAGCAAGGAAAAAGTTTCGCCGAGGCCGGAGCGAACGAAACGCGGGCCCACCAGGTCCCATCGGATGCGACGGAGGTTCAAAATGACGGCCCCGATGGGGCCATGTACCTGGGCCCAAGACGGTTTAACAGAAAGCGTGTCGAAGGCTAGCTGCCAAGCCTTGCGCAAATCTGAATCGTTCGCTCTGCGACCCCAGACCCAGCAACAGTCTCTAAACCCAACGGCACGGTATAATCTACTATGGGTCATAGCTGACACCGATGCAGATGCTTTATATGTACATATATATATATAAAGCAGTGCCATGGACCCGACCATTCGCACCCGTCAGCTCCGCCGCTAGCCCTCTCAAGCTCCGAAGTGAAGAGTGGCGTCTCCGACCCCCGCGACCGAGTCCCCGAGGCCTCCGCTGGGTATAAGCCCAGCGCGCCAGAGCGCGGCCACTTTGGGCCCAGCCGTTTTCTTCAGAACCTTGAGCTTCACCCTGCGCTCCAAAAACTTACGGCGGCGACCACCCTCCATACTGCGGGTTACCTTGCTACCCTATGAGTCGTGTCCCAAATCCCAAAAATGCGCCCTGCTTTTAAACCCAAGCCGTCGCGCCGAAAAGCGAGCTTTCTTTTCGGCCGCGATCGAGTGAGCCAGGAATCCAAACTTGTTCGGCCGCAACAGGAGACCAATCGGGGTAAGGCGGCGGCATAGATCTCCCACTGCCGCAAACACTATCTCCGTCTTTTGAACACCAGGGCCCTGCCACTGGGGAGAAACGCCATACATCAAGAGCAATGGTCTGCCTGGCAGGGTTAAGCATTACAGCAAGCACATGGGCACCCGCATGACTACAGACCGCCAGGATCCCGTGGTACGATATATAGAGCTATGACAACGATCCACGAGCTTCAATACACCTGGGCGCAATGTGCGATTGGATCAACATCCATCCTAACCTCAGGGGGAAACCTACAGCCCTGTATATGTCGAATAAAACAGACAGCCTAACCATTTCGTAGCACTTGGCCATGTCGAGAAGCACACTTACCCAATGCCAACCTTTTGCCCCGGCAATCTCAGCGGACAGGTTAAATCAAACGCAGAGGCGGTCGCACTCCTCCCAAGCCCGCTACCCCATAACTCCTCCGTCCTATTGTCGCGCTCCCAGCGCTCTGAAACAGGCCCGCGGACCTTGAACCAGATCCTAATCAGCGAATCCAAAAGTGCAATGAGGCGGTGACCCCCGCCTGGTTTTGACAGCCTGACCAGCTTCGAAACTAGCCCATGCGAAGGCCACGCTCTGCTCACACCGATGCAGAAATGACCCAACAGCCTCGAGGGCCTCGTCCGACAGGTACAGCAGCGATCGAGGATGCATTGGCATAAAGCCTACCGCCGTTCGCTCAGGAAACTGACCTATCGCAGCACGCAGCGCGGGCACTGCGATGTGCGGCAGGGGCTCCAAAGACGAAAAATCTCCAGGAAGCCCCGGAGCTCTGCAATTGTGGGTGGCCCTGATCGAACGCCGCTCCGACAAACACTCATCCGCCAGCTCAAAGGGTTGTGCCCGCTCCGTGGCTCAAATGACTTCCTGGGCCGCCTTGGTTTTTGGGAAGCTTGAGAAGCGGTGAGCTGCTCTCGCAAAGGAAGACCTAACCCAAGCCTGCCACGCTTCATTTTTCCGCGCCAGGAATGCTGCCTCATAGAGCGAGGCCCTGCCCAGGATACTCTGCGCGAGGTCCGCGAAGGACGGGTCGCCCAGCGCGCCGGTGCCCGCCTTGAAGAACCCTGCCGCGAGGTCGCCCAGGTGCGCGAAGACCCAGCCGTAGGAGCAGATCCTCTGGCAGAGCCTCTCCACCTCGTAGAGCACGCGAGCAGCTCGCTGAAACCGTCGCTCTTGATCTCTGCCGTCGACCGACAACCGAGGGAGATAGCTTTGCGGCACAACATCAACACTGCGCAGGTGATGTGCCCACCTGGCTGCCGTGCCCCAAGCCGCCTGCCCCGAGCTCCTCCTCGGAAGTCGATGTCTAGGAATAAACTGCAGGCGCCGCCACTGAGTCTCGCGTGGGCCGCCATGCCCGGCATCTGGTTGAACTGCGCCCCCGACGACGTCGCGCCTGTCGCGCAGCTCTGCTTCAACTCCACGTAGGAAGGTGCCCCAGAACTCACGCAGGTCATCCGCGCGCACTGCCAGCGGCAGCCGCGCGTGGAAGTTGGCCCATAGCCTGGGAGATCTGCCGCAACCAGGCTTGGCCACTGTCGGGGAACTCTTCGGCTGCTTGGGAACTCGGCACCACAAAAATGTATGCGGCCTCCCTATTTCCATCGCCACTGGCTTGCGCGGCGAGGTGCCAATGTCATCGCACTCTCGGGGAACCCTGGTCCTGATGGCGAGGGTTGGTGCTGACGAAGAAATCGATCTCTTAATGCCAGGAATCGATTGCATGCGCGTTCGGCCAGCTGATGCCGCAACCACTCCTCCGATGCCCGCGCCCCGCGACGTGATCGGGTCTGG